TCAATATTTTAAAATACAACAATAACTATGCATAAATTTTGCACAATGATTTGCAAATGAAAGGAATAAAACTTTTAGAGTATCCGGTACATGAAATTTAAATAGAGAGCAATTACAGAAATATTTAGATACTTTTATTAGAAAACGATAAAGATCGCACGTTTCTGTCGTAGGAGAAATGAATAAAATATTCGTCGGATGGAAATATCGAGCACGTTCGGTCTCGACAGTTTCTTAATAATTGCTTGGCTCGTCTAGTAAATTAGTGAAGCAAGATCGATTGTACAAACCGAATCTTTCTCCGGATTTGAATACTTGAATCTTTTAGTAACGAAATTAGTTAACGAAATTCTTCTATCTGTAATACTTTTTAATAATTAATTCTCTACTTTATATATAACGAAATTTAAATAAAATAAGAATAGAATGAAAGAAGATCATAATACGAAATACCCTTTTCGTAATAATAATTGATATGAAAATTATTTTTTCTATAAGGATATATGTTGCTTAAATTTTAACTTGTTATTTATAAAACACCCGATATGTGAAATTACTGCGCCCTTAATTCTCTAACAAACGGTGCAATGCGACGGTTGAGGTTAGATTTACATGCGTGTATCATCTTTCGTCGTCGAAACGCTGATAATCAACAACGGAGAATTGAAACACCTTACGTTTCTTAGAAATCTCTTATTTACAGACACCGTGTATACACACTACACGCCCTGTATGCGTGAACTGTAACGTGGCTTCATCACCAGTTGCTTTCTGAAAATATCATACATCACTCTCTCTTCAGCTACTAGCGTTTACAGTTTACAGCCATAAGGCACAGTGGCTGTAAACTGTATATATAGGGTGCTCTATAACGTATTCAACTCACGCTTATTATGTTGTGTGTGATCTTCATATAATATAAATCTTATAATCTAAATAATACATCTTCGTACAAATTGAATGAACTTCAAAAACTCTAAGATATGATTAAAAACATTCCAAAAGGCAACTGACAGATCAACAAGAAAAAGGGACGTTTTCATGAAATCACGAAGAAACTATTTCCATCGAAAGGAACCGCTCGCCGGTGGCCCGTCAAAATTTTCGCGTCCTTG